AAAAATCCCTACCTTTGGAAAGACCTCAATTTAATTTATTATATATGAGTTGTTCGTGGAGTTCAGTACGCTTATACAAAAGCTTCTTGATGACTTTATATTCTGAAATCATGAATCAACATTTTTAGAATCATAAAATTTAAAAAATAAAATATATAAAATATACGAAAATTTATTTTCTAAAAATAAAATTATATAAAGAGAATTTTATTTGAATTTTATTCAAATTTTTAGATGTTAAGAAATTGTGATTATATCTGAACAAGTTTTGCGATTAAACAAGTTCGTTGACATTCAAAGTTTTTTTCTAAATATTTTTATGAATAATCTGCAAATATTTGCTTACAATTATAAAAGAGGAAAAAAACAGGAAAGAGAGTAAAAAAAATAAAAATAAACATTGCAACTTTCCAACTCAAAATGCTTTCCAATAATTACAACTATTAGAAAAAGGGAATTTCTATCAAAGTGTAGTTTTTTTTTTTTTTTTTTTTTTTTGTTAATTATTGCAAATTGAGTTTCTTTTTTAAATAATATTCTACGGGCTATAGGTCATTTGATGAACACATTAAGGTACAATATACATTCAAAATTTATAATGTTTATAAGATTTAAAACCCTAACCAATAGTAATTTAAATAAATATATCGCAAAGGCTATTCACCATTTACGTGCTTCAAATATTTATTTTCTCTTTCGTATACAGAAAAGTTTACATGTTTTTATTCTAAAATCGTTTCAATAGAAAAAAATGGATAAATGATTTCTATTAAAGTATTAATTTATAATACTATAATTGATTACGAATTAATTTTCTGTGTAAATTATAAAATTCGAAATTTAATTTTTTACAAATATAAATAATTAACAATTTAATAATTGACATTGAAAATATAGAATTTTTCATATTAATTATATTTTACCAATAAAAATTATAATGTAGAATTGCAAAAAAGTTGAAATAAATCACGAAAATTAAACGTAAAGAAATTCAGTTAAACAAGAATTATTCAAAAAGTTTAAAAATATAAATGAATAGTTTTTTAGGTCTTTAATTTGAGATATAAATTGTTTTCTGAAACTTACTCATATAAAATTAACGAGATGTAAAAGCATGTTTATGAATATTGCAATATCTCCTTATTATCCACTTGAGCATAGCAAAAAAACATTTTATTATGATGAATGCATCGAATATTAAATCTGATCTTATTCAATATGAAAACTGCAATTTTCTAATTTGTTCGAGATTTTCGAAACCTGAAAATAAATTTTAAAATATTCATTACCTCGTGAATAATTAAATTTCACAATTTTGCAGAAACCACGAGCTAAAGTTGCAAGAAGATTTTTGATTATTTTTTTCTTAATTTTAATTATAAACATGGCGTAAACTTTATTAAATCTATTGTACATTTTCATATTTAAAATATTAAAAAAATATTTCGTTTATAAAATAAAACAAAACTTTATATGAACTAAACTTCATACTATAGTCTAAGATATTGTATATGCTGCAACAACAATATCTTTCTAGGAAAGTCCTAATGTGTACTTATAGATGTAAAGATATATATTAGATAATGTTGAAAAATGTTCATTCCACTTCAATTATATATCAGATACGCAAAAATTAAAAAAGAAAGAGCATCTGTAGATAGCATGCATCTTCCACAGAATCCATTTTCATGCATGGATGCTGTTAACCTTAACAAAAGTATTGTTGTAATCTCATGATTGACTAATAAGTACACAAATTATTCTAAATTGAGTGCGATTTTTATTTTTGGATTTAGATCTAACGATAAAAATTCTAACTTAAGTATAAAATTATGCTTCTTATATATTATTCAAATACCGAATTAAAGCATTTCTTATGCGATTATTGCATCCGTTAGATAAATTTAGAATTTAGTATAGAAGCTTTGTATCTATTGCATCAACCGTGACGAATATCCATTAATGTTATTTAAATAAAACACACGAAATAAAACTTGTATTGTGCTTGGAGGACATTATTAATTCGAAGAATTCAGAAAAAAAAAAACGTAAAGAAAAAAATCCCTACCTTTGGAAAGACCTCAATTTAATTTATTATATATGAGTTGTTCGTGGAGTTCAGTACGCTTATACAAAAGCTTCTTGATGACTTTATATTCTGAAATCATGAATCAACATTTTTAGAATCATAAAATTTAAAAAATAAAATATATAAAATATACGAAAATTTATTTTCTAAAAATAAAATTATATAAAGAGAATTTTATTTGAATTTTATTCAAATTTTTAGATGTTAAGAAATTGTGATTATATCTGAACAAGTTTTGCGATTAAACAAGTTCGTTGACATTCAAAGTTTTTTTCTAAATATTTTTATGAATAATCTGCAAATATTTGCTTACAATTATAAAAGAGGAAAAAAACAGGAAAGAGAGTAAAAAAAATAAAAATAAACATTGCAACTTTCCAACTCAAAATGCTTTCCAATAATTACAACTATTAGAAAAAGGGAATTTCTATCAAAGTGTAGTTTTTTTTTTTTTTTTTTTTTTTTTTTCAAATCTACACGTTTGGAGACCTCCCGAACCCCNTTTTTTTTTTTTTTTTTTTTTTTTTTTTTTTTTTTTTTTTTTTTTTTTTTTTTTTTTTTTTTTTTTTTTTTTTTTTTTTTTTTTTTTTTTTTTTTTTTTTTTTTTTTTTTTTTTTTTTTTTTTTTTTTTTTTTTTTTTTTTTTTTTTTTTTTTTTTTTTTTTTTTTTTTTTTTTTTTTTTTTTTTTTTTTTTTTTTTTTTTTTTTTTTTTTTTTTTTTTTTTTTTTTTTTTTTTTTTTTTTTTTTTTTTTTTTTTTTTTTTTTTTTTTTTTTTTTTTTTTTTTTTTTTTTTTTTTTTTTTTTTTTTTTTTTTTTTTTTTTTTTTTTTTTTTTTTTTTTTTTTTTTTTTTTTTTTTTTTTTTTTTTTTTTTTTTTTTTTTTTTTTTTTTTTTTTTTTTTTTTTTTTTTTTTTTTTTTTTTTTTTTTTTTTTTTTTTTTTTTTTTTTTTTTTTTTTTTTTTTTTTTTTTTTTTTTTTTTTTTTTTTTTTTTTTTTTTTTTTTTTTTTTTTTTTTTTTTTTTTTTTTTTTTTTTTTTTTTTTTTTTTTTTTTTTTTTTTGTTAATTATTGCAAATTGAGTTTCTTTTTTAAATAATATTCTACGGGCTATAGGTCATTTGATGAACACATTAAGGTACAATATACATTCAAAATTTATAATGTTTATAAGATTTAAAACCCTAACCAATAGTAATTTAAATAAATATATCGCAAAGGCTATTCACCATTTACGTGCTTCAAATATTTATTTTCTCTTTCGTATACAGAAAAGTTTACATGTTTTTATTCTAAAATCGTTTCAATAGAAAAAAATGGATAAATGATTTCTATTAAAGTATTAATTTATAATACTATAATTGATTACGAATTAATTTTCTGTGTAAATTATAAAATTCGAAATTTAATTTTTTACAAATATAAATAATTAACAATTTAATAATTGACATTGAAAATATAGAATTTTTCATATTAATTATATTTTACCAATAAAAATTATAATGTAGAATTGCAAAAAAGTTGAAATAAATCACGAAAATTAAACGTAAAGAAATTCAGTTAAACAAGAATTATTCAAAAAGTTTAAAAATATAAATGAATAGTTTTTTAGGTCTTTAATTTGAGATATAAATTGTTTTCTGAAACTTACTCATATAAAATTAACGAGATGTAAAAGCATGTTTATGAATATTGCAATATCTCCTTATTATCCACTTGAGCATAGCAAAAAAACATTTTATTATGATGAATGCATCGAATATTAAATCTGATCTTATTCAATATGAAAACTGCAATTTTCTAATTTGTTCGAGATTTTCGAAACCTGAAAATAAATTTTAAAATATTCATTACCTCGTGAATAATTAAATTTCACAATTTTGCAGAAACCACGAGCTAAAGTTGCAAGAAGATTTTTGATTATTTTTTTCTTAATTTTAATTATAAAAAATATTTATAATCACAGAAAATTTAATAATTTTTCTGAAATTTTTTGGGTCTTTTTCGTTAGAACCGATTTGTCGCTTTCGCTGCCGTCGAGAACGTCGATGTCGATTTGTAGTATACGAACTGGAAAAATAAATACTTTACTAAAAACAAAAATATTTTTAAAAATTTCAATAAAAAATTGATAAACTCTTTTGTTTTTAAATTTAAAATTTGTATTGTTGTTTAATGACATTTGCAATACAGTATAACTATGCAATTGAACGCGATAAAGGACACAGCGCGATGCGGACGGGCCGTCAAATGAAAAAAGGCCCAAGTTTTCCTGTTTTTTTTTTTAATGCAAAATGTTATTGTAATAATTTTTGGCTCTAAACCAGTAAAGAGATAAGCTTGCTTTAACATTGGTTTAGAGCCAAAATCAATTATAAAACCAGTAAAATGTTTTTAACATACTATATAATTTAATTGTAAATGTTAGGAAATAAAACAGTAAATTTACTTTTAAAATAAAAACTTGCTTTTGTGAGTTTTTTTTTAAGGAATTTATTAATTTTCTCTTACAAATGTGAGTTTTACTTGCTGAAACTTTACAAATGTGAGTTTTACTTGCTGAAAGAATATATCATCAATGATCTAAATTCACATAAAATTATTTAAAATATTTGTATAATTTGTAGATAAATTACTATAATGACGTTTTTAGACAACACGTGGAGTATTTATTATCTAAATTATAGACAAAACGTCCTTTAAAAAGTTAACAAGGCTTTCATAATTATTTAATTTACTTTTTCTCCTGTAATAATCAAATTTCTGCACCGCCTTCAAGGTTAAAAAAAAGAGCTATTGCATCCTGTTACGCGATTTCATTATACATCCTTGATATCATTGGATCGTTACCTTTCACTTTGCATGACAAACAAGCCAGGTAATGACGTCACAATCAAGTCTAGTGAACTTCATTTATAGGAAAATCCTAGCCAGAAATCTAGATATTGCGCTTGCTCGTTGATTCCTCGAAAACCAACACAATTTTCGCTTTTAAACTTGATGACAATTGCCACAGTTATCATTCGCAATTTGCACGGATGCAGGATGTGGTTAGTTTCTTCTATCTTCTTTTTATTGTTGTTATATACGAATGCACAAAATGATCCAGATCCTCCCGAGGGAAGACCTATTAGGAACCATAGGATTTTGTATGTAGCTGCAGTCGAAGAAGATTGGGATTATGCACCAAACGGAGGGCCTGATGTGCCGTAAGAAACACAATTTTTTAATATATTTACAGTATTTTTAAAAATTTATAATAAGTGAAAAAATAATTGCAAAATATTTAACATAAAAATATTTTTATTTTATAATAGAAAAAAAAATTAAATAATTTTAAGAAGTTTTTTTATGGAAGAATCTGTAACAAGGACATAACTCACTTGTTGCAAAATAAGAAATTTATATGAAAATATTTGATAAACTTTTCACTAATTTATTAACAAAACAAAATAGTTTATATAAAATTATAACTACTTAAAGAAGAATTTATTATTATTATTATTATTTTCATGAGGAAAACTCTATTAAAATTAACAAAATGTCTCATCATCAAAACTAACATTGTTCTTTTTTAATTTCTTCTCATTTTAATCTCACGTATCAAGAAATAACATTAAGAATGTGAATATTCTTATTTTCAAAATCTTACAACACTTAGAATAGCTTAGATAATAATTTTATATACTTTACGAATTAGTTAAACTTCCAAAATTTTTAATTTATTAACAATTATTATTTGTATTTTTTAAATGTAACATTTCTANTACATGCATTTTTGTTCCAAAAATAAAAAACGTTTTCTTCTAATTTTATTTTGAAACAAATATTTTTAATAATTTTCATTGAAGCGCAACCTGTTTGATGTTCTCAAGCGTAATCATTAATAACGTGTAGAAACGCAGATACTGGTAAAACTTGAATTATTTCTCGAAATGTATTAAGTAAATTTCAATTTTTATGATTATAGATTTGCAAATAGATTTCTACAACGAAGTACAGATCCGGTTAGAATAGGAAAAGTTTACAAAAAAGCTCTCTTCAGGGAATTCACGGACAGTAGTTATCGAATACGCAAACCACGTCCCGAATGGCTGGGTATTTTAGGACCTGTTGTTGCAGGTGAAGTGGGTGATAAAATCACAATACATTTTTTCAATAATGCTTCTTTCCCTATCTCCATGCATCCTCATGGTTTGAGATACAGAAAACGTCATGAAGGTACAGAAAAGAATTTTTACATAAAGACGTATTAATGAAAATTATACAAGTAACAAATACGTTTACGAATTTCAGGCGCACTTTACGAAGATAATACCATGGGTAGAGATAAAGACGATGATAGAGTACCACCAGGAGAACATTACGAATACAACTGGTTCTTAATTGAAGAAGATGCACCATCTGAAACAGATCCAGATTGCATAACTTGGATATATCACTCGCATCGTAATGCAGATACCGATCTTCATGCTGGATTATTAGGAGTCATTGTAGTTTGTAGACCCGGTTGGTTTCATATACCTAAACTTCTAAAATTCCAAAAAAAAACTTTAATCTAATTTAAAGTTTATATTTTATTCTAGGAAAGCTTACATCATCAAATACAGAAGAAGGTCTTGATAAAGATTACGCCCTGCTGTTTCTAGCTTTTGATGAAAACGAAAGTGAACTTTTAGATGTTAATATTAATAGTGTTAATCCCTCAATAACTGAAGAGGAACGAGAAAGATTGAAAGAAGATCGTGCGTTTAGAGTAAGAAACTTTTTAAAATTTTATATAAAAATATAATTTTAAAACTTATTTAAATCTTTTTTTATCTCTTAGCAATCTAATATAATGTTTTCTATAAACGGATTTGCATATGGTAATCTTCCTGGTTTGGACATGTGCATAGGAGATCGTGTAGGATGGCATATGGTTGGTCTCGGTAACGAGGTTGATGTTCATAGCATTAGCGTTGAAGGCCAAGTCTTGACAATGGACAATCATAGGTTTTTTTATACATACATTTACTTTAAATAATAGATTGTGACATTCGATTTAACATTAAAAACTTATTTTCAGAACAGATACCATAAATTTGTTTCCTGCTAAATTTACAAGAAGCTATATGACACCAAGAAGACTAGGTAGTTGGCCAATCCGTTGCGAAGTTGGAAGGCATACCGACGGTATACTTTAAGTTGATTTAATGGTTATAATGTAAAATAATTGTAATCTGAAACTATACGTAAAAAATGTTAATATACAGCTGGAATGTATGCGTCGATATTTGTGGAACGTTGTAACAAAAGACTGAAACCAGTAGGACCTTCTGGCAGGGGAAGAGTTAGAAAATATTTCATTGCTGCTGAAGAAGTAATATGGGATTATGGACCATCGGGATATAATCAGTTCACTCAAAATAAATTAATAGAAGACCCGTAAATATATTTCTAAATCTCTTTTTTGAAGATAAAATAATTTTGATTAAACAAGAAATTTTATTTTCAGTGCAGCAAGTCCATACTTTATAAAAAATGCAACACGAATCGGCGGTAAATATAAGAAAGCTCTTTTTGTCGAATATACGGATGATTCGTTTAGAACAAAGAAGAAAAGAACGAGAGAAGAAATTCATCTTGGTCATCAAGGACCTACAATTAAGGCGGAAGTTGGTGACACCATTGAAATAATGTTTTTAAATAAAGCAAGAGCTAATAATTATTCTTTGCATACTCACGGAGCATTCTATAGATCACCAAGTAAGTAAAAAATACTGTGAAACTAATTCTAACTAAACTAAAAAATATTTTTATTAAATATTAAACAATAATTTTCTTTCATAGGAATGAGAGGTTTGGCTAATACTGGAGTTTTACCTGGACAGAAGAGATTATACACATGGTTCATTCATAGAGATTATGGTCCAACCTCACTTGATCCCGACTGCTTGACTTGGAGATATTTTTCAGGAGAAACCTTTGTTTTTGATTTTTATGATGGTCTTCATGGCATATTGTTGACTTGTAAACCTGGAACTCTTGATTCTCGTGGAAGACAAGTAATGAATGTTTAACTGCTTTATTTGTTAATTCTAGCTCTTTTTTTAAATAATATCTACAATTGATTATCTGTTTTAAATTTTATATTTTTTCAATACAAATTTCTATTAAGGATCTAACTATAAATATAAGACGTAGGAAGAATCTGTAAACTTCCAAAAATTTTTCAGAAATTATAAATGTTATACAATATATGCATAAGTATTAAACAAATATGAACTAATATAATTTTTAAAATGAATATGTAAGATTCTATTTAAGAACATTCTATTTTAAGTTATTTTCATGGTAAAACAATACAAATTCTCAAGACATTGGTATAATATTTCAAAAGAGAGTTTTTAAAACGAAGAGTATCTAAATAATATGCGTACACAAGTAAAATGATACATACAATTACTATCGTTTAAGTTATAAATTGAAGTACTATAATGAAGGTTGTATATATTGCATTTTAAAAATTAAATTTAATAATTTTTTTAATATTTTAGAAAAATGTTGATAGAGAATTTTTCTTACTATTTGCTGTTATGGACGAAACGATTTCACATTACTTCGATGAGAATATTCAAATGTTTATTGGAGATCCTTCGAGAGTAAATAGGACTGATGCACGGTTTTTCGAATCCAATCAAATGCATGGTAAATCATAAATGAGTCATTTTAATCATTTTTTTAAACGTACTTGTAGATTCTTTAGCCTGAATTTTACTTATAAGCAAAACTGTTACAGCAATAAATGGAAGAGTGTTCGGAAATTTGGAAGGTCTTCAAATGTGTAAAGGAGACCTCGTTAGCTGGCATATTGTTGGTTTTGGTAAAACAATTGACCTTCACGTTGCATATTTTCATGGTCATACTTTTAGTATTAATGGTATGTTTCGAGATGCAATAGCTGTTGTTCCAAGTGCACACCAAACAGTTATCATGAAAGCTGAAAATCCAGGTATGTACTTTGGAGATATAAAGAAAGATTTTTCCAAATTTATGATACAAGAAGATCGCTTCTGAAAAATTATATTATTTATAGGGGAATGGGCAATAGATTGTCGAACTAACGACCACTTGATGAATGGAATGAGAGCCATATACAAAGTTCAAGATTGTAATAGACGTGACGGAAAACCTGAAGAATTTTGGCCCGTGCCGGATAAATTTCCAAAAGAAGCGAGAGTCTACTATATAGCAGCAATAGAAATCGAATGGGATTATGCACCTTTCGATCGTCACATTATAACTGGAGAAAGTTTACTAGAGAATAAGTAATTAACATTTTTTTTTAAGATTAATTGACTTATTTTTAAGGAAATGTACTAATTTGTCTTTCTTTTAGTGAAAGTCGCCCATTTATCATTAATGGAGATAACAGAATTGGAAGACTGTATAAGAAAGTCGTCTATAGAGAATTCACAGATTCTACTTTTAGAGTGCAAAAGAGAAGAGGTCCGGAAGAGGAGCATTTAGGAATTTTAGGACCTTTGATTGCGGCTGAAGTAGGAGACACAATTCGGGTAGTGTTTAAAAATTTAGCTTCCAGACCTTATTCTATGCATCCACATGGAGTACTTTACAGAAAACCTGTAGAAACAAAAGGAAGAGCTATAGATAGAGGTGAAGTGCCCGTTAATCCGGGTGATACTTATATTTACGAGTGGGATGTTCCATATACATCAGGGCCAGGAAGAAATGGATTTAATTGTGTGCCTTGGGCTTACTATTCAGCTGTTGATCCAGTTCGAGATACAAATACAGGACTAGTTGGTCCTTTAATAACTTGTCGAAAAGGAATTCTAAATAGATCAGGTAATAAATGTACAGTACAAGTTATATATATATATATATTAATGCATAAGTTTTAGAAAATATCAGAATTGTTTTTATTTTAAATATTCTTATATGCCAAATTATTTAAAGAATATTTAGAAGTATAAAAATTAAACAGTATCATTTTTATGCAAAATTTTTTATATATTAATGTCATTTTTACGTTAAAATATTAAATTCTTTATATTAAATTTATAAGAAATGAAGAGGAAAAATCTTTTTTTTATAAATCTAGAAAGTTTTTTTTAACTAGAATTAAAGAGATTTTTATACAAATTTACAAGATGTATATGAATAAAACATTATAATATGTTTCTATAATGCACTTATCTGATAAAAAAACAAAATAAAACTTTAAAACCTCAAAGTTTTACAAATTTTTTTTATCGGGTATTTTATTTAATTTATATTCGTATCGATTTCAGGTAATAGAAGAGATATGAATCATCAATTTGCTGTGCTTTTTACTATTTTTGATGAAAATTTTAGTTGGTTACTTGATGAAAATATTAGAACTTACACAAGAAGACCAGAAACAGTTAACAAAAATGATAATGGATTCATAACTAGTAATAGAAAATATGGTAAGTGCATTCCCAAATACCATTTTTTTTTAATTTACAGTTTATAGAATTAAAACCATTATAAATAATTTTATAGCAATCAATGGAAGAATATATGGAACTTTAAGAGGATTAGTAGCAGAACCTAATCAAAATACAGCGTGGTACATGATGGGATTAGGAACAGAAATCGACATGCACACAGCACATTTTCATGGACAGACATTCTTTAGAAGAATAAATTCAGATAATCGTGGTGACGTTGTAGATTTGTTTCCGGGTGTTTTCCAAACTGTAGAAATTGAAACAGATAATCCAGGAACGTGGTTCCTTCATTGTCACGTAGACGATCACATGAAATTTGGGATGAATGCCGTATTTACCGTAAATCCATTCAATCGTAAATGATCATTAAATGATCATAAATAGCCAAATGGTCCTTTCATTATTTTATAAATAATTTATGTAAATTTATGTAATTTATGTAGTTTAAAAAAAAACTACGATTTATACAAAATTATTTACAGGATCTTCGTAATTAAGATATTTATATTTAATTTTTTCCGTATTAAAATAACTCAATAATACTGAAAATTTACGAATAATTCTCAAATATTTAAAAAAAATCCATATCGGATATAAAAAGACTCATAAAAATTTAGTCAAATCTACAAAATAAATGATTTATTTAAAGTTATTTCGAATTAATGAGATAAGCATTATATCTTGTATTTTCTTCCTTTTATAATTATAAAATTTCCAACATATTATTAGAAAAATAAACTAAATAATTCATTAAAAATGTTAATATATTGAAGTATAGAGTTAATTTTCGATAATCCTATATAAAGGATCCATAATATGGATTAACTGTGCCATATCATAACCACATAATCTATGTATCGTGTTTTAATTTTTAAGCATAATTGTTCAAATTTATAAATATTTAATTAAATTTTAAAAATGTAATTTATAAAAAATGTTCTTAAATTTTTTAATGGTACAAAAGGCATTCATTATTTATAAACATTTATCATGTTATATATTCACATTATTATTTCTTCTTTTTCTAATATTTTATTACTTTTTTCCCTTTCATTATTCTGGAAAATCTAAAATTAACTTCCCTTCAATATGTTAAATTTTAATAATATTTTATAAAATATTTATTTTTAGTCATAAATATTTTAAATTTTTCATTAAAATCTTAAGAAAATATTCATGTTAATATATATTATATA